ATCAGGTATTCCCTGGATGGTTATGATGATGATGATGTGATGTGGTGGTGGTGATGATGATGAGGTGATGATGATGATGATTATGATGATGAGGTGATGATGATGATGATGAGGTGATGATGATTTGGAGGTGATGATGATTTAAAGTTGATGATGATGATTTGGTGATGATGATGATTATGATGATGAGGTGATGATGATGATGATGAGGTGATGATGATGATGATGAGGTGATGATGATGATGATTTGGTGATGATGATGATGATTGTGATAATGAGAGCATGGTGATAACGATGGTAGCGAGCAAAAATGATGATACATCGGAGAGAAATGCTACAACCCGGACATCAGTCTGTCAGTCAGCCTGTCTATCTGTCTCAACACCGTCTCAACACCGTCTCAACACCGTCTCAACAACATCATCTCATCAAACCCACCCATCACCCCCCACCCAACAACAAAACTAATGAAGGAGTCAATGGAGTGAGTGGACGATCGATGAGGGAGAACATTTCCTTTTGCAAACAACAGGGATTTTGCCAAAAAATTAAAATTGCTATTTTTCCAATAAAGAGACATCTTTGACAATAACTGACACAACGTCAGAATCAACAGCCACACAACAACAACACACACACAACAACCACAACAACAACCACACAACAAGGCACACACGCACACGCACACACAGAAAAACACAGAGAGAGAGAGAAAGAGAGAGAAAGAGAGAGAGGGAGAAACACAATCACACGAGGAACCTGTTTGACACCAAAGACATCGATGATGTTATCCTTTATGGTCGAGTTGCCACTCACTCGTAACATCACCCCACTAGAACTGTTGCATCAAATTTAACTTTATCACAATTTATATATAAACAATATAATATATATTTAATATATATGTATATACATATATATATATATATATATATATATATATATATATAATATAATATATAATATATATATCTATATATATATGTATTGTATATATTATAAAATATAGTGACAATCATATTCATCATCACTCTATCACTAAATTTTATGATCATTCATTGAATGAGCCAATCAGAACAAGGCAAACCCATTATCTTTTGCCTGATTGGTTATCGTCAACTTGAGTCCTTTCTGTATGAGGCAGTAACCAGACAGGAACGACAACATCTTCATTGGGTATCATTATAATTAATTAATTAGTTAATTAATTATTTAATGAATTGATAAATTAGCCATTCAATACATTGACCACTAAGTGAGTCGAATAACTAATCAATTAACCAATCAATCTATATACCAGCCATGTAATCAACCATGTAACTAATCAATCCCTTAACCAACCAAACAATCAACCAACAAACCCACCAACCAGCCAGCCAGCCAACCAACCAACCCATCAACCAACCAACCAATTAACCCACCGACCAGCCAACCAACCGACCAACTAACCAACCAGCCCACCAACCCACCAATCAACCAACCAACCAATTAACCCACCGACCAGCCAACCAACCGACCTTACTGAACTCCTTGTTGATGTTCTTCTCCAGTTCTTTCCTCCTAACGGGCAGTGTGTGGAAGAGGTCCACCACCAACACTGTAGTTCCTGGCTAGTGTACATTTTGTATGTGATTAATTTAATATATAAATTGAACGATTGGCGAAACAACTAATTAAGTAATTATCTAATTAATTAACTAATTAAATAATTAATTAACTTTCACCAACTAGTTTCCACCCACCTGCCTAGCGCATGGAGACCTGGATACAATATCACCGTTGTTATTAAATAACAACCTGGTTCCTATGCATTTGGAGACGTGGCGAGTTGTGATTGACAGCTTGCTGGATGATGACGATTATTATGATCATTGTGATGTTGTTGTTGTTGTTGTTGTTAGTGATGATGATGATTGTGATGTCTATGGTGATGATGATGATGACGAGTGCTAAGTTGATAGCGAATTAAATAGCAATTCGGCTGGAAAGGTAGCTTCATCATCATCTTCACCACAAACATCATCATCATCAACAACATCCAATCATCATCATCATCATCATCAACAACAACATCTCAATCATCATCATCATCCTAATCATCATCATCATGACCACCTGAGGGCACACAGCGAGCTGAGGGCTTCCCCCCTAAAGCCAAACGTGTCGACGTCCACGAGGTCCTTGAAGTCGCTGATCTTCGATGTGTGGTGCTTCAGTGCTGTCGTCGTCATAAATAGTATGATCAAAATTATTATAACCATAATTATAATAATAATTATTATTATTATGATTGTCAGAATTGACGTTACTATAATCATCACTACAATGATGGATCATCATCATGGCTATATCATCACTGTTATCATATTATTGTTATCATATCATTGTTATCATCATCACTAGAGCATATGCGCTAATTCAAAAAATTAACAAATGACTACACCAATTACAAACAAACTAATTATTGATTCAACTGAGTAATTGATCAATCAATCAATCAATCAATTAATTAGTTAATTAATTAATTAATTACTGAGAGCTTCAAAATTATTCTCCTCCACTCCGCAGCCATCATCGCTGACTTCGATCTTCTCCAGGCCTGACTTGGTGCATCTCACGGCTGGCGGGTGTTTCACATCATTCCATTTTAATTAAACACTTCATCACATAATTATGCTATTTCAATAGTTCTAAATTAATGAATTATTATAATGTTGAATGAATGTGTTTAAACTGAAAGTAACTATACATTTACATTTTAGATAGATGTATTAAATACTTAAATACTTTAACAATTATAATAATAAATAAATAATAATTATTATATTAATCAATGAATTAGTGGTGCTGCACAAAGTCAGAGGAGATGTTTCATTTCTGTTGAAACTCAATAAGATAAAGTTTATGGCGATAGATAGACAGACGACTGATTGATAAGATGATTGACCAGTTGATTTATTGATGACTGAATTAACAGATGAGGTGATTGACTGATTGACAGATGGATTGACTGACAGATATTTTTGGCCCCGGCATCCAGACTGTTCTCCACAAGTTCCTTGACGGCAGTTGCCAGTGTGAGGACAACTTGTCCCGAGCACAATCTGTGTATCGATGTCTTGTCAATAGGCTTGATCATTTTTTAACTTCAAATTTAACTATATTAAAATAAAAATAACAAGAGAACTGGAAGATAAAATTTGTTCAGGTATCTGATAAAAATAAAATAGGAAAAATGTTTCTGAAAGTTGATGTTGGTTGATGAATAGTATTTGTTTTTATGATGATGCTGATGATCTGGTGCACATCTTGTCCTCTTTCCTTGATGATGTGATGTTATAATTATCTTATTAAGCCACCAAGACGGTACCGCCGCATTTATTGCCGCATTTCTTACAACACCTGCTATATATAAACATAAAAATATAAAAAAACTGTATATTTATATTACTATGCTAACTAACACTAACTTATTAGTACTACCAAGACTACAACAGTAAAAATACACGCCACAAACGCTACTCCAACTAAGAAACTTAAACTAATAAAAGTCACTAAAAGACTGATTATTTAAAGACAAAACCACTAAAAAATAGATTCCGACCAGTCGTCGGAAGCATCCAGCCGAGAAAACCAGTTTGAGAAATATTTGCGCGTTTCAATTAAATATTTTCTTGAAAACAAAAGTGAACTTTGTTGAAAGAGGACAAAGGCGTGTTCATTTTTAAAAATTTATCCAAAACCAAATAATTTGGTTTCGGATAAATTTTTTAAATGAATTTTAATTTATCAATAATATTATTATAGACAAACTTTTATTTCAAACAATTCAATCAACAGACCAATCACAAACTAACGAACAAATCAATCGCACGTTGTTAACTACATTAAATATCATCTGGAACAATGGAACATTTTTCTTCATTAATATCAAGAAGCAAACCTATATAGAATATAACATTATTATTGTGATATTCAACTTTTCCCTTCATTTCTTCTTCCTAATTATTTCTGTCTCTTGTTCAATTACTCGCAAAAATTCCAATTTGTTCACCACTTGAGAAGCAGTTAGACAGCGAAAGAGCGCGTCTAAACAAGTGTGATGTTTATGTGTGTGTGTGTACGTGTATGTGTGTGTGTGTGTGCGTGTGTGTGTGTGCGTGCGTGTGTGTGTGTTCATTAGTGGGTATTTGTGTGTTCTTCTTGTTGAATGTGTATGTATGTGTTTGTTTGTGTTTGTTCATTTTACTAAATTGCCACATGATTTGTATGTTGCGAATTAACTTAATGAAATAATTACGCTGCGGTTCCGCCAGGTCTAATCAGCAGTTTGCGTGCTAATTCAATTATTATTTAAGTATGTCGTCGTCTATGTGGGTTTTAATGATTTTCATTTTCTATACAGAAATCTGCCAACGAACGTAAACTTACGTTCCGTACCGTTGTGTGTCTTGTTGATGTCGAGTGTCAGGTTGTATAGGACTTCGTTTGATGTTTTTTGGAGTTTTCTTTGCACTGTGTTACGCTGAGTTATGTTATGAAATTGATCAACCATGATTAACCATGGATCAAAGAAGCAATGCTGGCATGATAAAATAATTAAATATGATTTATATGATTTACCTTCAGATTGTTGTACTGTTTATCAAATCAATCAGTTTATTTATGTCCTTATAATGTTTTGAACTAAATCCATCGAAATTCATTTTCCATAATTTCATGAACAGCTTGTTTTTGTATTTACAAAATACAATACAAATAAAAACAATACAAACACAATAGAAATACAATAGAAATACACACAATACAAACATCAATAATATACAAACACTATACAAATACAATATAAATATTAACAAAATACAATCCCTATACAAATACAAAGATAATACAATACAGACACAACACAAATACAAACACTATACAAATACAAACCTCAATACAATACAAACACAAAGATAATACAATACAAACACAACGAAAAACAAACATGAACCGTTAAACCTACAACATGCACTTGGATTGTACTCAACATATGGCTTTGTGCTATTTCTGGCAAAAATTATTATTTTAAATTATTTTCATAAAATTATATTATAAAATTTATTTCATAAAATAAAATGAATTAATTAAAGTTGTGAATAATTCCATAAAATGATTTAGTTGGTTAATTCTATTTCAGTATATATGGAGTTAATCTGTATCTATTTAAACGTAATGTGTGTGTCTGTGTGTGTGTTTGTGTGTGTGTGGTGTGTGTGTGGTGTGTGTTGGAATATCTTTTTGTTACTATTGTGGAAAATTGTTATCAATAGATAACGAGCAGTGAAAGCATCAAAAGGTTTGCTCGTCTAAATCGTTTGAAATCGTTTACTGTTCCTTTTTTATACATGAATGTTTGCTTGAATGTGATAAAATGAATAAATTATAAGATTGAAGGAGTGAACCACGGCGAGTGAACCAGTCAATGAACGAGTGACAAGAGCTGCTGAGTTTCACCGCATGCAAACATTTAGAGTTTCAGGAGCGTAGGAATGTTTGAGAAGTGACTTGTGTATGATTTGCACATGATTAGGCCGGATTAACCCTGATTTTTACGGTTATTCCTTTCAAAATTACTGTTCAATCAACACATAGTTTGTTGTATATGAATATAACATATTTGTGTTTGTGTGTGTATGTGTGGGCATGTTTGTGTCTGTGTGTATGTTTTTGTGTGTATGTTTGTGTAGCTGTGTGTATGTTTGTGTGTATGTTTGTGTATGTGTATATTTATGTTTGTGTGTGTATAAGTATGTGTGCGTGTGATGTGATGACGTGGTCCCATGTAGAAATTGGTTGTTGAATAAAGATTAATTAATTAATTCAACTAAAATTATTTATTTTAATTATTTTCGTTTCTTTTTCTATTTTATGCTGGCGGGAGAAATAATATTTTCATGGCCGCCATGTTTTCAATTTCAACTCAACTCGTTCATTGATCAGCAGACAGACCTTTATCTACTTTACTTTCAGTTTCACATCCTTATTCACTCCATCATTCATTCACCCAATAAATCATTTATTTTTTTCTTCTATCATAATTATTTCTTTCTTCGTTAATTCCTTTACACCTTCCTCCGTTCATTCATTCGTTCGTTCGTTCATTCATTCATTCATTCATTCCTTCACTCACCCATTCAGGCTTCCTTCATTCGATCAATCAATCTTTTTTTCTTTCATTCTATGTTTCAACTACACAGATCAACAACAATCGCCACCATAAAGAGCAGACAATTGAACATGTCAGTCAACAGACAACAACAATGGCACAGGCAACAATAACCCGTGTCGAATTCTTCTCACAGAGTATCACTTCAACTGTTATCATCATCATCATTATCGTCGTCACAACATCATCATCATCACAACATCATCATCATCATCATCACAACATCATCATCATCATTATTTTCATCACAACATCGTCATCATCATCACAACAACGACTCACATCACAAAGCCATAATTATCACAACAACATCATCACCATCCTTGCTAATTTTTTCAAAAATTTCTATACAAATTTGTTTTTCAAAATTAACTTCAGCCACACATGACAAAAAAATTTTCATCTTCAGCGGAATATCAATTTGTAAATGGAAGTGTTATTAATTAATTAGTTATTAATTAATTAATTAATAACTAATTAATATGCCACTACCAGATGTGTCTCACAGTGCATGTTAATTTAATACAATTGTGTATAGCCTTACGATGACATTCGACACCACATCGCATCGTTTAGAACATGCAAATTCTACAAGCAGCATGTAATCCGTTTGACTTTTAAATTACGGTTTTGTATGTGTATATATGTGTTTGTGTGTGTTTGTGTTTGTTTGTGTGTGTGTATATATGTGTGTGTGTGTTTGTGTGTATGTGTGTGTATGCGTGTGTGTGCAGTTGCTTAAAAATATCACGATTGAAAATTTATATTTATATTTTATTTATTATATATATATATATATATATATATACATATGTATGTGTGTGTGTGTGTGTGTGTGTGTGTGTGTGTGTGTGTGTGTGTGTGTGTGTGTGTGTGTGGGTGTATAAAATAGAGCAGGCATTGTAAACACGTAGTTAGTAACGCTTTGAAGTGGTTGATTCTTTTTTTTTCATTCAGCACATGGCAGGTAATACAGCAACATTGCTGAACAACAACAAAAACAACATCAACAACAATAACCACAACAACAACATCATCAATAAAAACTTTAACAACAACAACTTTTGCCACAACAACATCAACAGCAACGTCAACATCGTCAACAACTTCAACAACATCAGCAACAACATCAACAGCAAAAAACACATCAATCGAAACGTTGACAACATTTTCAAAAATGACAGCGACATTTTCGCCGAGATCAACAGCCACAAAGTTGATTGCAACAATTTCGAAGATGATTACGATTATTTCGTCAAAAAGTTTTATAACGACAACAACAACAACACTACAAACGTTAACAACTTTCCAAGAAGCAACAACTCCAACAACAACATTAACACTATCAACAACAACAACATCAACAACAACATTAACACCATCAACAACAACAACATCATCAGCAAAAGTGTAAATACTAACGAGAAATACGCTGAGATTAACGACGCATCAGACAAGGGCTGTCAGCAGAACAAGTTATCAACAAAGAAAAAGAAGTTGCGCTTTTACACACCCCAACCATTTGAAACCGTTGATAATTTTAACTCCACAAATTGGAATCCTGCTGCAATTTGCAGCACAATCCCACAGAGGCTGAACAACAATTCAAAAAATATTAGCTCGGATGATGGTGTTGTGGTTTTAAATAAAAATATTGTAAAAAATATCAACAACTCAACAACTACCAACATCAACCACTCAGCAACAAACAACAACAACATTTTATCAACATGTAACAACAAAACAGCCCTCCAAAGCAACACTACCAATGTCAAAAATTTCGGCAACGTTTTAACTGAAGGAAATTTCTTCAACAGAAAGAGATTTGGGAGTTGTTACATTCCACGCCGAACTGTTGAGGCAGTCCTGAAGATGCAGCTGGCAAGCAGACGCTGCCTGACGCCGACCACGCATCATTCATCGCCCTC